ACAGGGCAGAGGTAAATTTCAAGGAATGTCAGGCATTTTCCATATAACATTCTGTGTTGGGATTATCGATGAAGCAAACTTATGTTTGCCATTGCAATCGGCGATTTTACTTTTTCCGTTAGTGAGTAGGTTTTCGATACTACCAGTAAATCAGATATATGAGTTGTATTCATTGGTAGTATAGAGAACCTACTTACTAAGGAAAAAAATAATGTCGTCGATTGCTATAGCAAATATAAGTTTGTTTCATCGACAATTCAACAACAGAATATGATTTAGAAAATGACATTCCTTGAAATTCACATTTGCCCTGTTGACCCTAGGGCATTCGTGGCAATGTGGCGTAATGGTTAACGTGTCGAGCTTATATGCTGCACTTCATCACCTTAAAAGAAATAGGGTGAATACAACTCGAAGTATCTTCTTACAAAATTTCCCTTTTAATGTTCTTAATGTCCTCTTTCTTGCTTATTGGACTGAATTTTCGCTATAGTAATAACTAGGTCGTATCTGTAGACAACTAAGTCAAGGGCCCGAACAAGGTCGTCCTTAATGTGGAATCTGTGCGATCGAACCTCGCTGCGACGAGTTCATTGGCTTCGTCAGTAGCCATGGTAAAGCAGTATAAGAATTCATTAACGTTGCTGTCTCCTTCCTTCATTCTCCAAAGAGCCTATTGAGCATCTCTTGAATGTGCAGAGTTCAACATCTATTCTCACTAGTCACGGTTGCCATGACTTTGAGGTCCTATAGGCGTACAGCAAGATGATCCCATCCACCTGCTTCCTGTCCAATTATCTTCTGTGCACCTATCTATTTTAGCCGTGTACAGTTCGTCTTCGCGAACACCAGCTATCTATACCATTTCGATCAGAGTCCTCTTTCTCATAACCCTTAAGAGGGCATATCATCTTGCTCGGTACTTTTCGGCTAGCGTTGGACGATATTTGATTATCCTTTAAACAACGTGACACAGGAATGCCGGTGAAATTTCTTGCATGTACTTTTTTTACTTGTAAATGATGGGTCCAGCATGCAAACAAAAATTGTCATCTGTTTTTGGCCATGAAACTTTACTATCTGGACAGTAAACATTGATAAGCATGCCTAATACTACTAAGTAATATTAATAGTAAGTAGGCTCGACCACAACAACGCCTCAATTTGTACGGAATTCACCTTCGTACTGTGTTGATATTATGGTCCTATATTTGCCATATCTCACTCATTTAATATTTACTTTTTTATTTGTATTCGCAGGACCTTAAATCCGACCTGAAAAGTGAGCTATCCGGAAATTTCTGTGATCTGGTATTGTTTCTTATGATGGATTATCACTATTCGCTGGCAAAATGTTGCTACAAAGCAATTTCAGGCGCTGGCACTAATGAAAGTGTTCTTATTGAAGTCCTCTGCACTGCAACCAACGAAGATATTATCAAAATCAAAGATTCATATCTTAAAGGTGAGTATATGCCCTTCTGAGTTGGAATGTTTTCCGTAGTTAAGGGGTCATTCGATGCTACCCAAAACGAGAACGATTTCGTTTCCTCGGGGATAAAAGGGAGTATAGGATCGGCAGAGCTGTTTGCCCAACTCCATATGCAATCACGATTAAAAGGAAAGGATTTTCTTGCTTTTGACACCATTTCTATTCCTTTCCAAAAAATACTAAGTTGTGAGAGGCTTGCCCCGCCCTACTCAGTCATAACGGTTGCACTTGCTATATGACAAATTGCTGTCAGCACAGGACTCTAGGGTCTAAATGTAAAATGTGCTATTTTGGATTCGCACATACCAGTTCTGAATCCCGTTGGTGGCGTTGACTAGACTTGAGCGGAGTCAGAGATGATGTCAATACCAGAAAATTCAGCTTCCAAGATGTGCGTTAACTACAGTTGCACTTAGAAGGATTTACTACATTAAGTTACTAATGGTGTGACTTCACGTTTAGCGCTATGGTTACCTGCCAAATAACCTACATCGTTTAAAGTGGCTGTTGCCTCATTTTCTGAGATGATTTAGAACCAGCCGAATGGAAAAATAAGTGATCTATCTTTGCTGAAACTCGTGTAAGGAAGCAGGGACATGTCCATTTGAATTGAATTTGGGAGAATAATTTAAATTATTTTGACTAATTTAGCATTTATAGAATTGCTAGCCTAAAAATATTCGTCTCTGTTTGGCATGATACCTTTTTATTATTGATGGTACATTTATGCGTGCATAAATGATTGGTTAGTCACTATAAGACTTTGGATTTGATTTTATCCTAGTCGTGCAGATTTTATTGCTTAATTTCACTGAATGCAAACCGATGACTCTTGATATTATGTTAATAATGCTTCTTTTATTTCTTCTTAACAGTCCTTGCAGACAAAGGAATCAGTGGTGAGAAATAATTTATTTGAAAAATAGAATATATAAATAAATGCATTTATTTCTGTAAATATGTTTATAAATTTTATAGTGGCGTACTTTTCATTTCGTTTGAGAAGGCGGGTCGAAGGGATTCGTAAGTTGGCCCCAGCAGATACCGCAGGATGGTTGCCTTGGACTTTTGTCTCTTGAATTGTGCGCAGAAGACCTCGGCTCACCGTCTTACTACCCCGATGACTCCTTGCTGTGACGGACATTGTCAAAGCGAGAAACATTTATTTACGAAAAATCACAAAAGAACGCTAAACCGGGAAAGGTGGCCAGATGATATCCTACTTACTTCTTATACCTCACTTTGTGATCTTGATGAGGAATTCCATGATTTGGTTGGCTCACGTATGCCTGGCCTACTTACATTTAAGTGGGTCAAAGTGATGAAGGCAGGGGAGCGGATGTAGTCACAACTTTTGTCAATGTAAATAAACTAGAGTATATCATCCAGTTGTCCTGGGTCTTGTTACAGCTTCGTGGATTCGTGTTTGCGTGTGTATGCAACAGTTCCGAGTTGGTTGACAATTTTAGGTTCAAAAACAAGCTACCGTCTAGTCTAGTCTTCTCCTCCTACTCAGTGGCTCTTCCTGTTCTCTTTCCTTCTCTCTCTCTCTCACACACACGCATGCTATTTTGAAGACAGAGATAGTTCTTATTTAGTTTCTTACATTCATTTCTCTTATTTAAGATGTTCTTTGTTTTATTAATTTCAATTGTCTCTGATCTCCCGTTTAGCTGTGAAGTCCCTATCTCCGCTAAAACGTTGTAATTTAGACCATCCTATCTGTTGTCCTGTAGCGAATACATGTTCAGTCACTTCCGATTTCTGAATCCATAAACCTTTGAAGGAGGTTTTGTGTTCTGATAGCTCTTTTGTATGAGTCGACAAGTCTTCCCCACATATATACTACCACATGAACACACAACCTTATAACAATTTGATCTACAGAATTTGTGTATTTCCTATGCATATCTTTACCCAGTTTGCTCCCTTCTTCACTAACTAG